GTGTCTGTCTAATCCAAAGATCCAATCAGGAGCTGTATAACTGTAATCAACATGACAAACTACTCACCTCGTTGGCCGCGCTGTGCGTGTATGTGTGTGTGTCATTCGCAAACACAGGCGCTGGCTAATCCATCTGCCGGTAAACGTTTCTTTGCTAACGAAAATCATGGCGTGGTCAAAACTGACAAAAAGAGAAAGTCGATTCTGAAAATCGCGAAATTTAAGACAGAGTGGACTGACAGATAATGCATTTGTTGCTGCGGCGGGGAGCAACAAAACCCATGTGTTTAATTTGCAACGAGACGGTTGCCATTGTCAAGAGTGGTAACGTAAAACGTCATTATGACTCAAAGCACGGACACTTTGACCAAAATTACCCGCTTCAATCTGAGGTAAGAGCCAGAAAAATCAAACAACTGCAATCATCATACCATGCAACACGCAGTGTAATAGTAAGATCAGCCACCCAACAAGAACGTGCAAACTGAAGCTCATTAAGAAGTAAGCATGGGTCTTAGGAAAGCACAAGAAACCATTCTCTGACTCGGAGATTGTGAAGGAATGCATGAATGAAATAGCAATTGCCCTGTTTGAGGGAACTCAAAAAGATGACATCATACAAAAAATAAACCAAATATCTTTGTCTGACTCCACTGCTGTAAAGCGAACTGAAGTCCTTGCTGAGGATTTGCTTGACCAAATGAAGTCTGCAATAAAAAAGGCTAAATGCATTTCATTGGCTTTGGATGAATCCACAGATAATACAGACAACGCACAACTTCTGGTGTTTGTCAGATTTTTTGATGAAGAGAAGGGAGAATTCTGTGAAGATGTGTTAGGCCTCACAGCCCTCCATGGACACACAAGAGGGGATGATATTTATGAAGCACTGATGGAGATGTTGAGAGACAGAGAGATAGACCTGAAGCATGTTATTTCCATTGCTACTGATGGAGCTCCATGTATGATTGGAAGAGAGAGGGGATTAGTGGCACGCTTGAGAGCTCATCACCCTGAGCTAATTGCATATCATTGCATAATTCATCAGATGGTTTTGTGTGCCAGTCTTGAAGAAAAGTATGCAGAGGTCATGACAACAGTAATGCGACTTGTGAACTTTTTGAGGGCATCATCTGCTCTGCAGCATCGCTTGTTGCGCTCATTCCTAACAGAGGTGAATGCAGAATTTGATGATTTGCTCCTTCACAACAATGTCCGGTGGCTTAGTAAAGGCAAGGTTCTGGAGCGCTTTTGGACATTACGGAAAGAGTTGGAAACCTTTCTGTTGGATCAGAAGAGTGCAAAAGCAAAACAATTTGTGGAATTTTTGCAGAATGAAGAAAAAATGGAAATTGTTGCATTTCTATCTGACATCACTTCCCATCTCAATGATCTGAACATGAAGCTCCAGGGCAAAAATAACACAGTGTGTAACCTCACATCAGCTGTCTGTGCCTTTCAGAAGAAACTGGAGCTCTTCAAGTGTGACTTACAGCAGGACCTGCTTCACTTCCCAAAGCTTTTAAATCAGACAGCAGGAACACATCGTCATCACAATCATGCTGAATTCCTGGACAAGCTGATAAAAAATTTCCAAACTCGCTTTGGAGATTTCCCTCTGGGAAAACAAGTCTTACTATGCATGGAAAATCCATTCCTTGTCAAAAACATCGCAGAATTTTCAACTGAAGCCCTGAAAATCTGCCCATGGGCTAGTGCTGCTTCTCTTCAATCAGAGCTAATTGAGCTTCAGGAAAACCTTGCACTGCAGGAGTCTCTCTGTGACCCTACCACCTTCTGGACTAAGATGGTCCCTGCAGCAGATGTCCCTTCCTTGCAGAAGGTGGCCCTTCAAATTCTCACCATGTTTCCATCAACATATTGTTGTGAGTCTGCCTTTTCAACTATGAATATGGTGAAAAACAAATACAGGAGCACCCTCAGTAATGAACACTTACATCAGTGTCTCCGCCTGGCCCTCACACCTTTCATGCCCAAGTTTAAAGAACTGGTGGCACAAAAAAGGTGTCACTTTTCACACTAATAAGGCCAAACCACATCAAGTTTTGTACATAGTTTGAACGTTTTGTGGGATTTACCACCATTTTTGTTGGAGTTCTGATTTTGGATTTTGACTATCACTGTTCCGGACCATGGACGCAAGAAAAATTTGGTGAGTGGACCTTTTAGGTTTCTAATTGAGTACCCCTGGTCTAGAGCCTCCATTTTTGCACTCAGGTCAAAGTTTCGTGGCCCTCTATCAGAATCCAGAGTTTTGAGAAGATTGGAGAAACTTAATTTTTCGCCCGAAAATGAAAAAAAACGAAAGGGGTAACACTGTCGTTTTTTTTTTGGGTCGAAATTTTGAATCTTGATATCTCAGCTCTGGAAGGGTCTAGAGCCTCCAATTTTGCACTCAGGTCAAAGTCTTGAGGCCCTCTATCATAATCCAGAGTTTTGAGAAGATTGGAGAAACTCAATTTTTCGCCCGAAAATGAAAAAAAACGAAAGGGGTAACACTGTCGTTTTTTTTTTGGTCGAAATTTTGAATTTTGATATCTCAGCTCTGGAAGGGTCTAGAGCCTCCATTTTTGCACTCAGGTCAAAGTCTCGAGGCCCTCTATCATAATCCAGAGTTTTGAGAAGATTGGAGAAACTTAATTTTTCGCCCGAAAATGAAAAAAAACGAAAGGGGTAACACTGTCGTTTTTTTTTCGGGTCGAAATTTTGAATTTCGATATCTCAGCTCTGGAAGGGTCTAGAGCCTCCATTTTTGCACTCAGGTCAAAGTCTCACGGCCCTCTATCATAATCCAGAGTTTTGAGAAGATTGGAGAAACTTAATTTTTCGCCCGAAAATGAAAAAAAACGAAAGGGGTAACACTGTCGTTTTTTTTTTCGGGTCGAAATTTTGAATTTCGATATCTCAGCTCTGGAAGGGTCTAGAGCCTCCATTTTTGCACTCAGGTCAAAGTCTTACGGCCCTCTATCATAATCCAGAGTTTTGAGAAGATTGGAGAAACTTAATTTTTCGCCCGAAAATAAAAAAAACGAAAGGGGTAACACTGTCGTTTTTTTTTTCGGGTCGAAATTTTGAATTTCGATATCTCAGCTCTGGAAGGGTCTAGAGCCTCCATTTTTGCACTCAGGTCAAAGTCTCACGGCCCTCTATCATAATCCAGAGTTTTGAGAAGATTGGAGAAACTTAATTTTTCGCCCGAAAATGAAAAAAAACGAAAGGGGTAACACTGTCGTTTTTTTTTTCGGGTCGAAATTTTGAATTTGATATCTCAGCTCTGGAAGGGTCTAGAGCCTCCATTTTTGCACTCAGGTCAAAGTCTCATGGCCCTCTATCAGAATCCAGAGTTTTGAGAAGATTGGAGAAACTTAATTTTTCGCCCGAAAATGAAAAAAAACGAAAGGGGTAACACTGTCGTTTTTTTTTCGGGTCGAAATTTTGAATTTGATATCTCAGCTCTGGAAGGGTCTAGAGCCTCCATTTTTGCACTCAGGTCAAAGTCTTGTGGCCCTCTATCAGAATCCAGAGTTTTGAGAAGATTGGAGAAACTTAATTTTTCGCCCGAAAATGAAAAAAAACGAAAGGGGTAACACTGTCGTTTTTTTTTCGGGTCGAAATTTTGAATTTCGATATCTCAGCTCTGGAAGGGTCTAGAGCCTCCATTTTTGCACTCAGGTCAAAGTCTTACGGCCCTCTATCATAATCCAGAGTTTTGAGAAGATTGGAGAAACTTAATTTTTCGCCCGAAAATGAAAAAAAACGAAAGGGGTAACACTGTCGTTTTTTTTTCGGGTCGAAATTTTGAATCTTGATATCTCAGCTCTGGAAGGGTCTAGAGCCTCCATTTTTGCACTCAGGTCAAAGTTTCGTGGCCCTCTATCAGAATCCAGAGTTTTGAGAAGATTGGAGAAACTTAATTTTTCGCCCGAAAATGAAAAAAAACGAAAGGGGTAACACTGTCGTTTTTTTTTTCGGGTCGAAATTTTGAATTTCGATATCTCAGCTCTGGAAGGGTCTAGAGCCTCCATTTTTGCACTCAGGTCAAAGTCTTACGGCCCTCTATCATAATCCAGAGTTTTGAGAAGATTGGAGAAACTCAATTTTTCGCCCGAAAATGAAAAAAAACGAAAGGGGTAACACTGTCGTTTTTTTTTTCGGGTCGAAATTTTGAATATTGATATCTCAGCTCTGGAAGGGTCTAGAGCCTCCATTTTTGCACTCAGGTCAAAGTCTCAGGCCCTCTATCATAATCCAGAGTTTTGAGAAGATTGGAGAAACTTAATTTTTCGCCCGAAAATGAAAAAAAACGAAAGGGGTAACACTGTCGTTTTTTTTTCGGGTCGAAATTTTGAATTTCGATATCTCAGCTCTGGAAGGGTCTAGAGCCTCCATTTTTGCACTCAGGTCAAAGTCTCACGGCCCTCTATCATAATCCAGAGTTTTGAGAAGATTGGAGAAACTTAATTTTTCGCCCGAAAATGAAAAAAAACGAAAGGGGTAACACTGTCGTTTTTTTTTTCGGGTCGAAATTTTGAATTTGATATCTCAGCTCTGGAAGGGTCTAGAGCCTCCATTTTTGCACTCAGGTCAAAGTCTCACGGCCCTCTATCATAATCCAGAGTTTTGAGAAGATTGGAGAAACTTAATTTTTCGCCCGAAAATGAAAAAAAACGAAAGGGGTAACACTGTCGTTTTTTTTTCGGGTCGAAATTTTGAATTTCGATATCTCAGCTCTGGAAGGGTCTAGAGCCTCCATTTTTGCACTCAGGTCAAAGTCTCACAGCCCTCTATCATAATCCAGAGTTTTGAGAAGATTGGAGAAACTTAATTTTTCGCCCGAAAATGAAAAAAAACGAAAGGGGTAACACTGTCGTTTTTTTTTCGGGTCGAAATTTTGAATTTCGATATCTCAGCTCTGGAAGGGTCTAGAGCCTCCATTTTTGCACTCAGGTCAAAGTCTCACGGCCCTCTATCATAATCCAGAGTTTTGAGAAGATTGGAGAAACTTAATTTTTCGCCCGAAAATGAAAAAAAAACGAAAGGGGTAACACTGTCGTTTTTTTTTCGGGTCGAAATTTTGAATTTCGATATCTCAGCTCTGGAAGGGTCTAGAGCCTCCATTTTTGCACTCAGGTCAAAGTCTCGTGGCCCTCTATCATAATCCAGAGTTTTGAGAAGATTGGAGAAACTTAATTTTTCGCCCGAAAATGAAAAAAAACGAAAGGGGTAACACTGTCGTTTTTTTTTTCGGGTCGAAATTTTGAATTTCGATATCTCAGCTCTGGAAGGGTCTAGAGCCTCCATTTTTGCACTCAGGTCAAAGTCTCACGGCCCTCTATCATAATCCAGAGTTTTGAGAAGATTGGAGAAACTTAATTTTTCGCCCGAAAATGAAAAAAAACGAAAGGGGTAACACTGTCGTTTTTTTTTCGGGTCGAAATTTTGAATTTGATATCTCAGCTCTGGAAGGGTCTAGAGCCTCCATTTTTGCACTCAGGTCAAAGTCTCAGGCCCTCTATCATAATCCAGAGTTTTGAGAAGATTGGAGAAACTTAATTTTTCGCCCGAAAATGAAAAAAAACGAAAGGGGTAACACTGTCGTTTTTTTTTTCGGGTCGAAATTTTGAATTTCGATATCTCAGCTCTGGAAGGGTCTAGAGCCTCCATTTTTGCACTCAGGTCAAAGTCTTGAGGCCCTCTATCATAATCCAGAGTTTTGAGAAGATTGGAGAAACTTAATTTTTCGCCCGAAAATGAAAAAAAACGAAAGGGGTAACACTGTCGTTTTTTTTCGGGTCGAAATTTTGAATTTCGATATCTCAGCTCTGGAAGGGTCTAGAGCCTCCATTTTTGCACTCAGGTCAAAGTCTTACGGCCCTCTATCATAATCCAGAGTTTTGAGAAGATTGGAGAAACTCAATTTTTCGCCCGAAAATGAAAAAAAACGAAAGGGGTAACACTGTCGTTTTTTTTTTCGGGTCGAAATTTTGAATATTGATATCTCAGCTCTGGAAGGGTCTAGAGCCTCCATTTTTGCACTCAGGTCAAAGTCTTACGGCCCTCTATCATAATCCAGAGTTTTGAGAAGATTGGAGAAACTCAATTTTTCGCCCGAAAATGAAAAAAAAAACGAAAGGGGTAACACTGTCGTTTTTTTTTCGGGTCGAAATTTTGAATTTCGATATCTCAGCTCTGGAAGGGTCTAGAGCCTCCATTTTTGCACTCAGGTCAAAGTCTTACAGCCCTCTATCATAATCCAGAGTTTTGAGAAGATTGGAGAAACTTAATTTTTCGCCCGAAAATGAAAAAAAACGAAAGGGGTAACACTGTCGTTTTTTTTTCGGGTCGAAATTTTGAATTTCGATATCTCAGCTCTGGAAGGGTCTAGAGCCTCCATTTTTGCACTCAGGTCAAAGTCTTACGCCCTCTATCATAATCCAGAGTTTTGAGAAGATTGGAGAAACTTAATTTTTCGCCCGAAAATGAAAAAAAAACGAAAGGGGTAACACTGTCGTTTTTTTTTCGGGTCGAAATTTTGAATTTGATATCTCAGCTCTGGAAGGGTCTAGAGCCTCCATTTTTGCACTCAGGTCAAAGTTTCGTGGCCCTCTATCAGAATCCAGAGTTTTGAGAAGATTGGAGAAACTTAATTTTTCGCCCGAAAATGAAAAAAACGAAAGGGGTAACACTGTCGTTTTTTTTTTCGGGTCGAAATTTTGAATTTCGATATCTCAGCTCTGGAAGGGTCTAGAGCCTCCATTTTTGCACTCAGGTCAAAGTCTTACGGCCCTCTATCATAATCCAGAGTTTTGAGAAGATTGGAGAAACTCAATTTTTCGCCCGAAAATGAAAAAAAACGAAAGGGGTAACACTGTCGTTTTTTTTTCGGGTCGAAATTTTGAATCTTGATATCTCAGCTCTGGAAGGGTCTAGAGCCTCCAATTTTGCACTCAGGTCAAAGTCTTGAGGCCCTCTATCATAATCCAGAGTTTTGAGAAGATTGGAGAAACTCAATTTTTCGCCCGAAAATGAAAAAAAACGAAAGGGGTAACACTGTCGTTTTTTTTTTCGGGTCGAAATTTTGAATTTCGATATCTCAGCTCTGGAAGGGTCTAGAGCCTCCATTTTTGCACTCAGGTCAAAGTCTCACGGCCCTCTATCATAATCCAGAGTTTTGAG